TTTTCTTCTGCATTGCAGTACAGTGGAAAATCTTGTGAACCATAGCATAACTGTTTGCCCACGATTAATAGGTTCCCTGTCATTTGGTATGCGTTTTAAAATACAAAATAACTACATTTATGTAATCTCATATTTCATATTCTCCATCTGTATTTATGTATCTTAAAAAGTCACCACAGGCTAAACCTCCCACAATCCTCTGATCTTGTATATATGTGGAATCGTCTACATTCATCACTGGAAATTACTGGTTAGTGTTTAAGGGCAACACAGCCCCCAGGTGGAAGTACTGCAAAGTTACATCTCTTAACTCAAAGCCAGTTGAAATCTCACTTCTGGCGATCTTGCCCCATCTGTTGGTCAAATGCACTCACTATGCAGCTCTAACTAAAGGGAGATAAGGGCCCTGTCAGAATTCTGTTGATTTTTAAAGTGAAAAAGAAAAGAGAAAACGTTAGTGGCATCATCTGGTACTAACACACAGACAGCTGAATGTTGGGATGGTGACAGTTAGGTCACTGCTTTTCAAACTGGGGTACCAACAGGGGTTATCACATTTTTTTGGAAGCTGGAACAATAAGGGAATACATGTGGTTGGTTTGTGTTACTGGTTTTAATTTATATTGACCCCAGATTGATCATAAAGGCTAATCTTGAAACCTAAAAATTTAAAAATACTCAAAGGGGACTAAATCCTCTCAAATTGGAAGCCCGTGGTTTAATGTGCATCTATTGTGGGGCTCCTTGACATGTAAAGGACAGTGATGGACAGCTGCCCATCACTAACACACTATAACACTAGATTTAATATCCTATGTCATTGCTACTTTGACACTCTGACTAATATGTCAGTTATATTCCATGACATCCAACATCATTAAAGTTAAACATAAAGAAAACAGTACTTACTGTTCCACCATTGTCAATCGGCGCATTGAAGATCACTTTTTTTTTAGATACACAGCAGGAACATAATATATTCACACTAAAGAAAGAGAGGCTAACATGTCATTGTTGTCATATTTTTAAACTCCACACAAAACAGGACTTCCTGTCTGAATGCATTTCTTCAACACAAACTTGTACATGAGCAGAAGCACAGTGCCCCCCTTTGGGTCACAGATGAACTACCTTTGAAAACACAAAGCGATGCAATTGTGTAACCAGCCATAATTTAGTTCAATTCAGCTCAATTCAAAGGCATTTTATTGGCATGGGAAACACACATTTACATTGTATTAGAAAAATATGATATGTACAACAAATTACTTAAAATAAAATTAAGAAATGTAGCAGTAAGAAAACAACAACCTTTTTAAATGAATCTAGTGTATGTATGTGCTGTCTGTTACCATGTCTATCTTCAGAGTGCAAATAGTGAGGGTGTATTTGTTTACAGTGTACTGTACAGGTGATTGACAGTCTTCATGGTGGTTGTATTCCATAGGACGCCCTTCTCCTGTCACAACAGCTCATAAATGAATAAGACATAAAATAACTACAATCTATCAAAACTATTATGACTTGGTGCAATGAGTCCTCCATTCCCAGTGACAGGCGGAGGTGTGACTGTGGGAAGCCGGCGCAGTCAGTTCAGTCTCAGCTCGGCTGAGTCACACTTTGTCACCTTTCTTGGTGTCTGTGATCACACCACCATGCTCAGTCAAAGTTCACAGGAGCATGCCAGCCTCTCCAAATTAACCTTCATTACAGAATTACACATGACAAAAAGTGACATCTTCAATGACACAATTATATCATAATAATGAATAAGTGACTGTGAGTAGCACCAAATTATCAGATCATTTACAACAATTGTGTAGAAAGTAATAACTTTTAAAGGATGTAATTACTACAAAGGTAAGTAAACAGATAAGACCAGGGTAAAAGCTGATATCCATCTCTTTAGAGTTTATTTTAAAAAGTGGCTATAACTTACATCACAGGCTAGTGTGAGATTATTTGGAGGCAAAGAGAGGGTGCTTGGCAGTTGACACGTGACCACAGAGGTCAAGCATGGGGCTGAACAGGGTTTAGCCCCTCAGGTGTGTATTCTCCACGTCCAAATTCACACTAGCTCCTGGGAAAAGCATGTAACTTCAGACTGCATGTGTCTGAAAAGTTGTGCAAAGTTCACCAAAGTTCACAAAGTCATGTTGATCATTGTTAATAATATATTTACAAGTTAAAATAGACATTGTTTTTAACATGTACATATCAGCCATCATTGTCAACATAAATGCCGCATGCTGTATATGTATATAAATATACATATATATATACACATTTTTCTTCAAATTTTGTAAAACTCAAAAGATTGCTTCACACTCTTTCAACATATTTTATGGCTGAAACTGCAAAGTACAGTTCTTCTGGCTCCATTTTCTTCATTGTGTAACTTCTACAACCCCTTAGTACATAACACAAGATAATCTATGTAAAACCCACTAAGAACAATTCGCTTCAGTTGACCCACAGTTTGTGCGGTACAGGTTATAAGTTCATCAGACAAGGCATCAGTCCCTGGTTTTATATTTAACTCCAGAGGTGAGCAGATTTCACACCCAAGTAAGTGACACTCCTAAAACCACCAGCTCTGACACCCAAACCCTGGGAAAATCTCGGCCAGGCCAGGGTTGAAGAGGTTATCAGCGTGTCATCTCTTCATCACAGTTCCTGATATCAGGCCTGCATGTGAATATTAAACAATATTAAACATTTTGTCCAACCCTCTTTGTTACTTTACAACTCTACAGTCTTGATGCTGGCTAAATGTATTAGCCTTACATATTAACATATTTGTAGCAATGTGGGTGTGAAAAATAAAATGTGAAAGAAAATCAGTTTGTTAATTTATGATAAAAGTTTTTCTTGTAGTTAGAATAAACTTTGTCCAGTTGAGGTCACTTCAGTGGCACTGCAGCACCCATGGTGCAGTCAGAGGCCTCCATGTTATACATAAATAAGGTGTGTAAACTTTGCACCCTGCAAAACACCTACATGATTCCCAGGGTTCCCACAGAAAGGCTTGAAAGGTTGGCACCGGGTTAAGTTGAAGAGTTCAGGTCATTGGGTCAGACAACAAAAGCCTGTACACATGATAATATATTTTTCCTGAGAACAGACATGAATATTAGACGAAGTCTTTAGTTTTAAGGAGGCAGGTTTTTACAGCAGCAGCTGTGCTTAACCATAAAATATTCATATTCAAAACCTAGTCCTATACAGTTAGAAATGACGGAATAGGGGCATCATGTAGACCTGCAATAATGAGTCAACTTTATTTATTTATTTTAATTATTTATATTTACAGGATAGGGGAGGAGGGGGGTAACATGCAGCAGAAAGGCTACCCAGACATGGGGTGCATACTCTACCAGGTGAGCTACCAGGGTGCCCCAAGACATCTCTTTTAAACACGTCATGTTTTTTTGTGGTTTAAAATCCAACTGTAAGTCAGTATAAACCTGCGTCTACTGTAAAACAATTAAACTACTACACCTGGCTGCCAATAACTTCATATCTAAATAAACTCAATTCATACTGCAGCAGTGTAATAAATTCTTATTCTTATTACAACGACTGAATTATTAACTGAGTATTCATCAGACACTGCCCCAGGGGCCCCAGGGGCCCCAAATGAAATGACAACAAGCCAAATGTCACTGTGTTTAATTTGGAGTCAAATGTGCTCTCCAGCCTTTGTAATATACACAACCGCAGCACAGTATCAAACAATATACTTGATTAAAGGCTTTGACCTACATCACTACCTCATCTTGAGGCTCTGCACTCTTTTCCTTACATGTTGCATTTCCAAATAAAATTGTGGTTTTTTTTATTTTAATTACCCAAAACTATTGGACACACAATGCTGGTGGTTGACTGGATCTCTAGATGATATATAATGTTGTCATGTGTAGTCTGTAGTCCACACTTAACATGTATTTGGAGATGATGATGTACAGACACAATGCACAGTGAAAAGAAGGAGCCTCATAATGAGTTAAACCAGCCCTGATTTTTGCATTCTGCTGTCTTGTTTTGTCTGATGTTAGACTTTGTTGTTTTTGTTGTTGAGGGACAAAACTTTGAACTGGAACATACATTCAGTCAATACTGTATGTGTTATTATTGATCCCTTTATCCATCTATTCATTCATTTATGTTCTATCCTATGAGCAGAGGAAGGAAAACACTTATTTTAGAATGGTATAAATCTTTTGGTGGCAAATCTAAATGCATGTAGAGAGCCTGTCCTGCTCTATATAAAAAGAATCTTAACTAAACTATAGTTTCATTGGAGGTCTACTAACGTTTTTCCCTTTGACTATATCGGTGCAGATCTTTACGCTCTGTTGACAAGGTTGACACCCTCCACATGTCACGCAGTTTCCGCACTTCAGGCGCAGGAAATGGCGCATTTACTACCTTGCACTTATCCATGGGAAAAGAGCTGTTGCCACATACAGGCGGGTGTGTCCGACAAACTGAATGCGAGAAAACATTACACTGCTATAACTTCTAATATATAAAGTAACTAATCCTAGCTGTGTCTGTTCACTGCAAGAAATAATTATGAGGAAATTGCATTAATATTAAACTTTCAAATGATCATTGGCCCAGTCCCAGTGGAGGAGAGTCTCTCCTCACATAAACTTTGTTCCGGCCACTGCACACTGCCAGCAATGTAGAACTCCAATTAACTATGTGTTTATGTTAGATTTCGACAAGTACAGGCACTAACCACATAAAAAAGTCCTGATTCAAATCAGTAATTAAGCCCCCGACAACGACATTAATTTAAAGTATTTTATTGCAATTTTCAGCAGAATACAAAAGAGGTAGAAATGTTAAAGGAATAACTTAAGCATTTACATTCTTGTTTGGTATAGAAATGAAAAAAAAGTATATTTACATATATTTACAGTAATAAATTAAGAGAAATATATTATCACATTATGCAACAACTCGTCTTCAAAGGCTTCAGAGAGCCACATTTAGTTCAGCTCCTTCCCCATCTCCTCCTCTTCATCGTCGCTGTCTTCATCACTGCTGGAGTCTTCGTAAATGCAGATGGTCGCTTGGACCGGATAGTTGCGCAGGAGCATTTCTGCGTCCTGGTACAGATAATCGAAACATCTCGATTTAGGCCAGTACAACCTTTAAAAAGAGAAGGAAAATTAATAAAGATGCTGACAAAGAAATAACCGGCATAACAATCAAATATAATGTAACTGACACAACTCTACTTACTTCACTGGGTGAACGACCTGCGGGGTTTTGGGGTGCTTTGCAGCAGAAAGGTCTCCATGAATGGAATGAGCCTGAAAGTTAAAATAGAGCGATTTTGTTAGACTTTTTATCCATTAATCAACGAAGGTTTGAATTTGAAAACCCTAAAGACTAAGTTGTCTAAACTCACCTTGTGTGCACCAGTTTTGTCCTCTATTCCAGTCCACGGTCTCCACAGACTACCGGACTGCTGAGTAACATTGTCTCCAGTAAAAACAGAAGTTAATCCGCTGTTGGTATTGAAAGTCTCCATGGTTCCTTGTACTGGTCAGTCCTGGGTAAAGTCCTCAGAGGATGTGCAACTGAACGCAGGAACCTCCTATTTATCAGGGCCCTGGCAGCCTGGTGCCAAATTGCGCTTTGACGCGTCCCCAAGTGTCTCCATGCGCCACGGTGTTGAGGTGCGAAGTCACACTTCAGCAAACTCCAACCATATGGTCACTTTCTTTCTTAACGTTGAATGTAGAGTAAAAAGTATCTATCGTGTGAGATTGGTATATTTGAAACATATTTCCGAGATTAACTGTTTGTTTAGTTTATCAAATGTTAAACAGATATAAGGTAAATGGATTGTACTTTGTAGTCTTCCGACCACTTAAAGCGCTTTAAGACTACATGCCACATTCACTCACATTCATACAGTTCAGTCTTGCTCAAGGACACTTCGATATGTAAGTGCAAACCTTCTGATTAATGGAAGACCCGCTCTACCTCCTGTGCCATTACGCATAGGTACTCTCTGCATCCATGTACTCAATGTTAAAATATGAAGTGTGGTCTAATAAGGTAGAGCGCAATGTACTAGTATCATTTCAGTCAGTCATCAGTCATATTTGGTAATATTGTGTGTTTACATTCAGAATCGAGTAATAACTCAGGTTGCATTGTTAAATTTTAGTTCATAAAAACTGATCTGAACTGAACTCTTCGACCCCTTCACCTCTCAGTCTCTCCGTCTGTGTAGCCATATGTGCGCAAGGTGTGAAGAAACACGTGCCCTACTGTCGATGCCCGCTGAGTGGGTTGATGGAAGAAGGCTCGTGCGCTGCGAGGAGGGGTTGACACGCGTCAGCCCTTTTGTGTACACAAAAGCAGGAGTGGGGCTAATAGCTGTAGTTCAGCAGATGCAGAGCCTGAACGCATCACACTCTTTATGGAAAACCTAATGATATTAAACTATGCAACCCGTATAGGAGCGGCGCTTGTCTGCCTTCCATGTCAAAGGCTATTTGTAGTCAATTTATTTAATTAGTCCCATTCTTTATTTTGGAGAAGTTAAGTGTTTCCTCCCAGTGCACCAGTAGGGGGTAGTGTGGGACTATATGCTGGGATGAAATGATAATAGAGGCTGTGTATTTTACACATTTGTTTGAGAGATATCTCACTGCAAGTGTCTGAGAACACAGTGGTGGTCTCCATATAGTGTGTGTGTTTTCATCTGACTTCATCCAGAGCTAATGGGTGCCATCACTTAAGAAAGAAAGAAAGAAAGAAAGAAAGAAAGTAGCAGGCCTGCAGTGAGGTGTCTGTGTTTAAAGGTGAACTGTGCGTGACCGGCATTACATTTCTTTGACCACCAGCTCCATCCACATCACAACACTCCTCTCCAGCAGGGAACAAGCAGTAAGAGCTTGACACTAATAAGGTCCACATAGATATCTCATTCTCTCTCTCTCTCTCTCTCTCTCTCTCTCTCTCTCTCTCTCTCTCTCTCTCTCTCTCTCTCTCTTCTCTCTCTCTTTCTCTCTCTCACACACACACTATCTCTTTTAATCAGTCTCTCAGGCTCTCACCTAATTGGACAGTCAGTGTTCTGCTGCTGACTTCTTTTCGTGTTTTGTTTGTTACATTCACTCTTTTACTATACTCACTAAATATGTGGACACATTGAATGCTGCTGTTCAAACATATATGCCCAAAACATGACCTTCGCCATCATGATTCACAAAATAGTTGAATTAATGCAATACTTATGAAAAGATCTTTTAACATACAATACAGTAAAACCAGGTCAGTATTAAGAGTGTTTTATGCTTTTTCTTCAAAACTGGTAATCAAAAAGATACAGCTTCTATATTTTGGATATTTCAATGACGGCTCTTCAGTGCATTTTGACAGAACAGCGCAGTATGAGAAAAGAGTGAACAAAAGAAGCAGGAAAGGTATATGTGAGGTCTCTATCAGATCAGATTCAGAAGCAAAATTGAAAGACCCTGCCAAGACCCCCAGAAAATGCCGACCTGTAAATATTAAGGACACCCATCATGGAGAGAGCTGGTAATCCAGCATTATCCAAGCCATTATCGCTTATCACCTTCCTACATTAAGTGTATATCAGTAACAAAGGAGGAGAGCTAAAGAGAACCTGCTGACTGGTTTTTAAGATTTGGATTTGTACAAAGAAGACGCTGCAGTTCAACGTCAGGGAGATGTCTGTAATATCTCAGACATTCACTTCTATTTCTGCTTTAATAGAGAGACTGACTGCTGAAATTAAAGAGACTGACATTAACTGACTGAAAAGTTCACCAGACCCTTTTTATAGGTTTTATAACTTCTATCACTTCTTTTGCTGCACTTTTGTCTCATTTTCACTCTCATCTTTCTCTCTGGCTTATTATTTATAGGTCGCCTTGCCTCTTTTCCCCCCTCTTGTATACTTCTGTATTTCAAAGACTGTCGGTTCTTGACTCCAGAAAATGCGTTCTCCATGGCAACAGTCAACTACAAACAATGTCATTTCCTAGTCATCCATTCAATAAAGCCTTGTTAGCTTTTTACGCCAAATCACAGATTTATATGTGTTAATAGGAATTGATTCATACAGCCAGACATAAAACATGTATAAGTAATATCTTCATGGTCCCCGTGGTCCTGCTTCCAGTGTGTGAATGGTTTCAGCCATTATATTTGTGCTGGGCTCCTGTTTTGAATCTATTTTTATGTTCTAGTTGAGATACTATAATTTGAAAGCCCTAACATCAGTACTGGACTCTGTGACACTGAATGGAAAACGTGCCCTTATGTTATGCTCCAATTGGGAGCAGTGTTTGTAGGATTTGCGTATGTTGATATTTTCCTTGGACTTCAGTGGGTCGGTGGTCAGTCCAAGCTGGGTCAGTGATAAAACATACACTGTGTTCCCAACAACATACCTCCATCCTTTAATTCATTATTTAATGAAGGAAGAATATGTTGAATATACCCTCCCAGTTGTATGTATTCCCATTGTATTTTGCGCGCATTGAGAGGTGCAGTAACCAAGAGAGGGTGAGTTGTTTATGCTATTCTCCTTCCTGAATTCACACACCAACTGTTTTGTCCAAAACGTGCAGCAGCTGGAGAGTCACACAGTTTCCCTCAGTTCCGAATGGAGAACTCCTCCATTTTCATGAAGACTGATATAATCCTTATTCAACAGAACTTCCCTAAAAAAATGGTGGCATTCAACACAGTCATACAAATCTAAAAAAAGCAAGAATTTTCAGTACTTTCCCAAACTTTAAATCTATACTCAATCTATTGTTTTTCACTTGAAGCGAAACAACTCATCGCCAAACTGATGCCTACTGGGACTTTGCCAGCTTAGGGATGCCTTGATTTTTATCGGCTCTGTCTAAAGGTTATTAGTTTTGCATCAGATATCAATCTAAGACAGAAAAATCCACATCTGAGAAGTCAGAATAACTTTAGAACCAAGAACCAAGTGTCATTGTCAAGCTCTACCTATTAGTCCGCAACTCCAGAGTGAGAAAAGCACAAGTGTAAGGGTGGCAGCTCCCTTTTACAATACTGATTGAGATACTGCCATTATTTCCTAACTTGTGTCTAGTGTTTTGTTTTTCTGTGTGGGTGTGTTTGTGTGAGAGACAAAGTAACCCTTTTGTAGTTGTTTTGTGTTTTAGAACTCTGAGATCTTGGCCTTGTGCCCTCTTAGTTAGCTGAAAGTATTTGTGTACATTTTCATTTGCACTGTTTCCTCCTGTTTCGCTTCATCCCAGCAAGATAGGTTTATGTGTTTTTGTTTGATTTTACTAATAAATCTTTTCCCTTCAATTGGAATTCAGTGTTCAGACTTAAGGCCGGGGGCCAGGGAGGGATTGACCTTTGAACCTTTATATATTATATTTATATCCTACCACATTAGACAAGGGCGTAACCGTTTTGAAGAGGACATTTCTTGCATGTATTATCTCTTACAGAATATCAAATGATCAATCACCACCAAGGCACAGGGCTTAATAACATCTGAGATTCAGAAAAAATAGTGTGTTGCTCATCCATCAGGTGTGCAGTGGCAGTTTAATCCAACCCGTTTGGTATTCAAATCTTCACCTTCAATGAGCCGCAATTCAATAATCTGATGGTGCACTGTATTATCATTCAAGACTGATTTCAGATACAAAGTTCTGTAGTTGATATTAGGTCATGATGGACTCATGAGATGTGTGTTTATGTGTGTTTCCATGAGTTTTGTTCTGTGAAGGGCTATGCGGAAGGTCAGACTGATCCAGATCTCGGTTTAATTGAAGCTCTGAGTGTTCCCTTGGAAACCATCTGATGGAGTAAAAGTACACTGCAAGTAGAAGCATACCGGGTTCAGAAAAACAAAACAAAAACCCTGAAGGTTAATTGCAAACCATGCAGTGTTAAACAATAGATCAATAAATCTGAAAATAAGAGGATACGCCATGGTAACAGAGTCAGGGAGACTTTTAAATAGCTATGTGGCTTTTAGATGGCAATATAATAGTAAATTGTGCATGCCATAAGCATATTTTTATTTATGGTGGGTGTTGTGTTATTAATGAATTTATAATTTAATTTAGAATCATCTAAATAACAATATTTCTCTCGTGATATCCTCCAGTTTTCATTAATTCATTCATAATTCATTGATTGCCTTTGTTTTATTCTCTATTTTTTGTTTTTTTCTTACTCTGTCATCTTCATTCAGTCACTGACCCTCTGCCACAGAGAGCAAAGACTAAATCCCTGAGCGAGGGGTCAATATGACAGTGCCCTGTCTTTTCCTGCTGGATTCTCTTCTGTGGCTGCTCAATATGCAGCATGGTGTCGGGTTTTATGTTGACAAAAACAGATTTGGAAGGATCATCCATCCGAACTGATGCACTGAAAAATACTACTTGTGGGAGTCAATTTAGACGACAAAGGAGAAAGAGAGAGTCTTTAAAGTTGATGTTGCAGGGTGAAAGAGGGGAAATAGTGTCTGCCAAATGAAAAGTGTGAGTT